TCTATCAATTATGACAGTAGCTAGAGGCAAATCAGTTCTCCTGCTGAAACAAAGGATAAAAAGAACTGTTTGCAGTGCAAACCTTTGATAATTGATAGCTGATCATTGCAAGATCCTGTTGTGATTCATTTAGTACTATGGAATATTCTATTCTAATCACATTGCATTTGTCTCAAAATATTAGTAAAACTGTTCTTCCTTATTTTAATGTCATCGTGTATACTATAGTAGCTTACAATATGAAATACTATTTTTCAAATTTTTATTGGCAGCAATCCTCAAAGAAGCAAGGTTGAAGACTTCATATCCAAGGCAGATCTCTCGGATGTGTGGGAGATTTCCCTCACCAAAGGTCAATAAAGAGCAACCATAGTATTTGCACTTTGTACTTTAAATGTAAATTCACTTTGTAGAAATGAGATATTTAAACAGACATTTTTTTAAAAAAAAAATCTGTGAAAATGTAGTACCAGCTTATTTTAAACAATTACCACATACAATGTATGTGCCTTTTTGTTGTTGTCTGAAATCTGTTTCTTGGAGATGTAAAAGTTTGCATTTAATCTGCTTGAAAAAGAATAATGTTCTGTCTTGTAGAACTAGCCTTATGGTATGTATGTTTGTATGTGTGTGTGTTTGTGTGTGAATACATACATACACATATACTAATTTTCAGTAGAATTGCTTATTTTAATGTAATGGTTAATATTATTGAACCAGCTTGATTTGAAGTCTACTGAGCTACATAATCTATGCTTGAGGTTGCATGTTCTTAAAGCTCATAAAAGATTAAAAAGTGTTGGTGATTTATGCACCTTACATAAGAACATAGATTTTAGAAAGAGTTTAGGGTGCTTTTGTTGAAAAGATGAATACTTTTTCTCAAAAATACAGTTGTACAGCTAGACTGCAACCACGCTGGTTTGAAAAAAAAAAACCACTTTTGTCTTCTTGAATTTCCTATAATTTCTAGAGGGCAGGAGTATATGTTTATTTTAGTTTCTATCATTTTGTTTTGGGATGGTTTAATCAGCCAGTAAAGGGAAAGAAAGTTCATTCTGTCACTCAGAGCTGATTCTGTTAAGCCGCAGAATAGCAGCAAAAGGATGCAATTGTTCAGCATTGTCGTTGTAATTGTAAGGAGACAAAGAAACTAAAACAGGTTTGTCCATCTTTGCTGCTTCTTACACCTGGATAGGCTAAGATATGAGATTTAGGAGCCCCAGGTCTTATGAAGTTAAACCCATAAATTGGACAAATTATATACAGGTATGGTAAGGAGATGAAATTAGGCCAAGCTCTCCCTTGGGGCACCTTTCTTGCCATCTGGGAGATGATCATACAAGTTTTCATACCTTTCCTTCCGATCTGATAGAGGTAGGATTTTTCAGTTCATTTCTATAATGCCTTAAACCAGTGGGTCTCAACCTTCCTAATGCCACGGCCCTTTAATATAGTTCCTCATGCTATGCATAAAATTATGTTATGTTTTCTGTATTTTTTTAAAAAAATATGTGTTTTCCGATGGTCTTAGGCAACTCTTGTGAAAGGATTGTTCGACCCCCAAACGGGTCAAGACCCACAGGTTGAGAACCACTGCCTTAAAGGAACAAGAATTTGTAGATGTGTCCTTCATGCCAAAAGCTTTTAAAGAAGAAAGAATCAGTTTAATTAACTGATAAACTTAACTTTTTGATTTTGGACAGATTTTATCCAAAGAGACCAAATGGATAAAGTAACTGAGTGTATATATTTTTTTAAAAAAAGTAAAGAGGATAGCTGTGATTGTTAACAATGATCAATATTCTTTTCAATTCATTAACAGAACTTTTGCTCAATGATATGTAGAATAGCTTTTGATGATTGTGTTCTGATTTGGTCTCTATATTGTATNTAGTAGCCCCATTAATACCTGGAAACTTAAGAACCTTAAGAGTTGCAATGGACAAAGTGAAATGAACAATTCAATTTAATTTGGAATGAAAACTAGAATAAAAGTTAGTATTTTGTGTGTGTGTGTGTGTGTGTGTGTGTGTGTGTGTGTGTGTGTACATTCTACACACACTGTAGAATGAAGAAATGAAATATTCAGACTTGAAAACCAGTGGGTCCAGATTTTAAGAAACGTAAAAAGTAAAAAAAATATTGTTTTCTTCAATGATATTTTTTAAAAGTTGCAAATCGTATTTTTTTTGTGCTGGCATTATGAATATGAACTGGTTTTGTTCAGCCATAGCTTTGTTTTGATTTCAAATCATAACATATATTAAAATATTATTATCAAAAAGCTATAACAGTTAAAGATGTAAATGTCATGCTAAACTTTAGTATGGATTTTGCCATTTTATGAAAAACTTTATGATAATCTTAATGATTAGAAAGAAATAGCCTCCTGATATTAAGGAAAATGTTCAAGATACTCTATGAGTTAGATGTTTTTTAAAAGTCTTTATATTCAAAAATGGATGGGAGATGGAACAATCTGTTTTTATTTCATCTTGATTCAATAGCTAGCCTAAAGACAACTATTTCCATATTGATACTAAATTGATATTATGTGGATCTTTTTTGTTTTTTATTATTAGGTTCTTAATATTTTTATTAGTTTATTTTAATCACTGTAATATATGCAAGTTCTTTTTTATTGTATAACCACTACAGTACTGAATGTTTTTTCTGTTAATATAGTTTATCTTTCACTGTTTAAAAAAAACTAAGTTTGATTTAAGAAGGAAGGGAGGGAGAAATATTTTAGCAGTAAAAGTCCTGCAAAACTGGTTTATTTAAGTTGAATTCAAACTCTTATTTCCCAATGAAGATGTCTTGAAACCATATTAATTTTAAATCCACAATTCACTTAGTTATTTACAGTACAATAATTTGTGTTTAGGACTAAAAAATAATAGAATTGAGACATAGGTCACAGTTACTGGCAAATGTGATCTAAAAAAGCCGAGACAATGAAAACATATTTTTTTATTCAGCACAAGCTTATAATATGGAAATTAGACGTATTGATGCATGTGATAACTCGTTTGCTTTAATAACATTAAATGTTTAATCCTACACATGTATTCTAGAATTAGTCCTTCTGAGTGTAATAATAAAACTATATAGAACTGAAGGAAGTGTAGGCATAAAAGCAAACAATACAACCTTTTAAAATATTTTGAAAAGAAATTAACTTGAGATTTCCCATTTTTTTCCATACCAGTCATTCAAGAGTTTATGGGAAAGAAGACAAATGTTGGACAACCTCATCTGCAAAGACGTTTTTCTGCAGTTTATTGATTTTCCCATGTAACAGGATTATACATCTTATATTGTGTATTACCTCTTGGCAGGAGACAGTAATGAAGAGGAATGTAGTGCAGCTCTTAAACACTTAAACTATAGATCCACAGAAATTGAGGCTCCAGGTCATTCTCCCCAAGGCTTTGAGTGAGACCCAGAGACCTCCAGAAGCTACTGTAAAAGTATTGCTTAGAATTGATCAAAAGAAAAAAAATGTTTAAAATATGAGCAATCATGTTTAATTAGGGGCTAGTTTAGGATAGAAGTTTAGGCACCAGGCTAGAAACCAAGAAACCATGAATTCCAGTCCTATCTTAGGCATGAAGCCATATGGATAACCTTGAGCTAGTCCCCCTTTCTCAGCCCTAGTAAGGAGGCAATGAAAGAATAACAGAGTTGGAAGGGACTTGTAGTCCAACCCCTGCCCAAGCAGGAGTCCCTACACCATTTCTGACAAATGGCAATCCAGTCTCTTCTTGAAAACCTCCAGTGATGAAGCTCCCACAACTTCTGAAGGCAAGCCGTTCCATTAGTTGATTGTTCTGTCAGAAAATTTCGCCTTATTTCTTACGTGAATCTCTCCTTGATCAGTCTCAATCCATTGTTCCTTGTTTGGCCTTTGGGTGCTTTGGAAAATAGATTGTCTCCCTCCTCTCTGTGGCAGCCCTTCAAATATTGGAACACTGCTATCATGTCACCCCTGGTCCTTCTCTTCACTAGACTAGCCATGCTCAGTTCTTGCAACCATCTTTCATATGTTTAACCTCCAGGCCCCTAATCACCTTTGTTACTGTTCTCTGTACTCTTTCTAGGGTTTCAACATCTTTTTATGTTGTGGTGACCAAAACTGGATGCAGTATTCTAGGTGTTTTTTAGGTTTCTAGATATATTCTAAGGCTTTATAGAACATTACTAATAACTCACACAATCTTGATTCAGTCCCCCTGTTAATGCAACGTATGATTGTATTGCCTTTTTTGGCTGCTGCCATATATTGCTGGCTTATATTTAATTGATTGTCCATTAGGATTCCAAGGTCCCTCTCACAGTTACTGCTATTAAGCAAGGTTTCACCTAATCTGTACGTGTTCTTTTTTTTTTCTTACTTAAGTGCAAGACTTTATTTTTCTCTACACTGAACTTCATTTTGTTAGATAGGACCCAAGCTTCAAGTCTGTCAAAATCCATCTGGATCTTGAGCCTATCATCTAGGATGTTGGCTATTCCTGCCAGCTTAGTATCATCTGCAAATTTGATAAGTTCCCCTATGAAGATATTAAAGAGTACTGGGCCTAAGATGGAAACTTGCGGTAGCCCACTGCTTACTTCCCTCCATCTAGATGTAGCACTATTAAGGACTACTCATTAAGTCTGGTATGCAGCCAGTTACAAATCCATCTGGTGGTGATGCCATGTATCCCACTTTTTCTAGATTACCAAGAAGTAGGTTGTGGTTTACTTTACTGAAAAAATGACAAATGTCCCCAAAACTGTGCCAAGAAAAGTAGAGGAACTTGTCTAGGCAGTCACCAGAAGTCAACCCTGATCTGAAGACATACTCATGTGTGCACACACACAGTTATATTAATTGAACTGAATTTAAATATAAATAAAGTTAAAATCAGTTTTGTCCTAAATTCTACTTTCCAAGAAGTTACTCTGCCCTTTTCATCATTTAACCAATTATTGAACTCTTTCTTTTGCAGGCTTTCAGAACCAGATCCAAACCATACCCTGGAGGAAAGAGTTGTTCATTGGTATTTTAAACAACTGGATAAAAATGCTAGTGGCGACATCGGCAAAAAAGAAATCAAACCTTTTAAGAAATTGTTGAGGAAAAAATCCAAGCCCAAAAAATGTGTGAAAAAGTTTGTGGAATACTGTGATGTGAACAATGACAAATCTTTGACAGTTCCAGAATTAATGGGTTGTCTGGGTGTAACAAAAGAAGACAATAAAGCAGATACAAAGAAACGTCATAGTAAGTAGAATTCCTTACTATCTCTTGTACTACATAGCTCAGTTGTTATTTTTTTTAAAATGGCAACTTTAAGATGTTTGGAGTTCAACTCTCAGAATTTTCCAACCAGTATGCTTGGGATCAAACAAAGGATCAATGGTGGGTTCCTGCTGGTTCGGCCCGGTTCAGCCAAACTGATAGAAGCTTGGCGGCCTGTAACCAGCAGCAACCCAGGCCTGCCATGCCCCTGAACTGGTTCTCCCGCGGCACCATAGGCGGCGCCATCTTGTTTTTTGCTTCTGAACATGCACAGAACAATTTCAGTTGTACTGTGCATGCGCACACAGCATGCATCAAGTGCATGCATGCACGAGAAGCGCCTCTGACCGAACTGGCAGTAGTCTCTGTCAGAACCCACCACTGAAAAGGATGTTTCCCAGCCAAGATAATATCTTCGTCTTGACTGTGAATTGTGCCTTTTGAGCTGCATATAAAATGGCATTTATCATTACAACATTTGAAGAAGAAATGGTAAAGACAGACATTAAAACAATTAAAAGCAAAATAAAATTTGAAAATGAGCAAAAGTCTAAAGGCAGAATGTTTTGGCAAGACATCTCATCAGGAATTCAGAAAAAGAACATGTACAAAAAATATGCTGTTCTTATCACACACTATTCAGCACTTTACTAAAAGTTAATGGTGTGTCATGAAATTTAACTGATAGTTATTAATTAAAAGAAATAAAAACCTTTATAATTCTATAAAGCAAATAAAATTAGTAAAATATATGTACAAAATGAGCAAAGCTCCCGGTTTAGCCTAGCTGAATCTCTAATCAAGTTTCAGTCTGAGGTTTTGGTGGCTAAGTGGAAGAATTGCTTTATGATTAGGACTTTCCCCACAAGCCAAGCAAGATCATCAAATTTATAGCATCTAATTTGAGCCACGGTGGTGTAGTGGTTAGAGTGCAGTACTGCATGCTACTTTTGCTGCCTGCAATTTGGTAGTTCGAATCTAACCAGCTCAAGGTTGATTCAGCCTTCCATCCTTCCAAGGTGGGTAAAAAGAAGACCCAGATCGTTGGGGACAATAGGCTGACCACTTAGAGAGGGCTGTAAAGCACTGTAAGTGCTATTGCTAAGTGCCATTGCTAATTTTTGTTGCTAAGGAATAATCTAAATGCATATCTGAAAGGTTTAAAGTCTATTTAAATTGTTACATAGAATCCTGTTTACTCTCAGATAACTTCCTGTCTCCTTTGTCCTCAGCAATTCCAAGAAGACATGCTGAAAGTACTCCTTCTAATAGGCAGGTACGTATAAGAAGAGGGAGAAGGGAGAGAGAAAAGAACTTTTCCATTCTCTTGATAGCATTTGGAAGTTGCCTGGTTGGGCAACCACAGTGAAGCGAGAAAGTATTCACAAATAACTACCAAAGTCACCTCTTCAAGGAGAGAAAGTAGCTACCAAGTTATATGTGATTATTTCTCATTTTCTGCCACTTTCTTGCCATTTACCTTCTCTAAACCAGTGAGAATTTAGTAAAGATTTTTCACACATTTGGAAAAGAATCCAGAAGAAACACAAACCACACCTTCCTACACCACTCATTGATTTAATCCCCTAAACATTTCTTACATTCTTGAGCAAGGTGGCCTGAAAAAAACCAACTCTGGTAGAACTTGGAACTGCCCCAACCATTTATTTTGAGTATGTCATTGTTGCGGCTGTGAGCATGTGACTTATTCTTCATTTCAATCCAAAACTGGCTTTATTTTTCTCCCCGCTGGCCTCCTCCAGCTTTCCGGTCATCTGATAACATGTAAAGGATATAGTGCAATAGTGCTATCTTTTCTCTCTTTTTCTTAAAGAATAATTTGATCCAATATTTCTGCTGACTCATTTGCAATTATTTTAAAAGCTCGTCCTGTGAAGTGATAGCCTTGAAATGGCCCTAGCTGTACAAACCATCTGTTGGCAGTTAACTGCTATAGCAATGGGAGGCCATAAAGGGTCCTCACAGATGCCGAAGGGGGCTTTCATTAGGAGAGCCCGCGCTTGAAAGGAAGGCTTTGGAATTGAATCTGCCTCACAAGAAACATTTAAAAAGGAACTACTTACCTTAAAGACAACAATCAGCTCTGTTTCCATTAGGGAATGGGCCACAAATGATCCAAGACTCAATACACACATTATGAAGTGGTAAATTGGAGCAATAGAGTTGTGGTCTGAAAATGCTTTCAGACTGCAGGTGAGAAGTCATGGTTTGAATGACCGCCATTCAGTAAACTAGCATTTATGAAAAAGGACTGTGTTAAAATATAATTGACCTGAGGGGGGGATCTTTTCTGCATAAGATGATAGGGGAAAGCATTTATACCTGAGGTACCATGGCTGCTATTGTGAAGTGATGTGAGCCAGGAGATCTGAACTACTTCACTTTCACTATAGTTTGACTTCTGAGAGAGGTCTCATCCATACAAATATAGGACAGTGAATGGCAAATGCTGTACTGGATGCTGAAGGCTTTAGGATAGATTTATCTGTTCTCTGAAGAATATCTGGAGAGCAACTGCCCTGGAGAAGGGCAGCTGCTCTGGAGAAAGAAAACAGCAAATGTGGGTTTCTCCCTGCTTCCTCTGATTCCACAGAATCGGAACCAGGACAACTGAAGTTAGATGGATGGAAGGCTGAAGAGGGCCAATTTTTTGTTATTGGAAAATGGAGTTTGATGCATGATATGATAGTAAATAGCTGTTAGGTGAGGTTATTCTGTTGTGTTGTAGCTGAACATCAATAAGATCATTGTTAGCTGGCTCTTGGTTGATGGGTGGGAAGCTAGGTTACTAAGTGGATCAGAAAAGGAGGAGAAGATAAGAATAAGGAGAAGCCAGAGGAAGTATGGTAGCAAATGTTGCCATGGACTGGTTCATGGGAAGAGAGAAAATTACTGGAATCTGTGATCCAGGGCTCCTTCTCAAGCCATAAACCAGATTCCTGGATCGGGAGAACCAGTAGTGGTGGTGGCGGGATGCTCCACCCATCTGCTTCTGCGCATGTGCAGAAGCATTGTATGCAAGGGCGCACACAAGCGAATTGGTAGTAAAAAAAATATGGAAACCCACCGTTGATCTATGGAATGTCAGCCAACTGTAGTGTTAATGCAGCTCAACTCTCTTAGGAAAATATAGGCCAGAATAATTGATTGATGTAACTAGCAATAACTTGGTTGAACATTTCATGGAAATTACCACTTGCATTTGCTTTCAGTTAGAAGCCAGATAGGTGAAATCCATTGAGATTGGAGACATGATGTCTTATTATGTTTTCTGTAAACTCTGTAAACCTGTAAACCTCAGGGAAGTGATCTTAGCTCATGTGCAGTCTCTCTCACCAAGCTGATTAAAGTGTCCATAAAAGGATTAAGACTTGAAGGTAGTAATTAACACTTTTTAAAAAATGAAGGAGAGGTTCCAGGAGTTGTGAAAGAGACATTGGTTTGCCCATTTCTTAAGAGGCCTAGTCTAGATCTTGAGAAAGTGATAGAGCTGCAATTATAAAGATCTATTTATAAGTTATAAAGATCTCTGGAGGATATATGGCAGGATATTTTGGCTGCAGGCCCGAGGTGAAAATTGCATTATTATATGGAATTTGTTCTTATGCACCGAAATTTAGTTATGTATTTACTTATCATATTTGTTTTTTAAAGATGATTTTAATTAAGCTTATCTAACTATGAGTCGCCATAGGTAAATAGGCGGCAATATAAATTAATTAAATAAATAAACAAACAAACAAACCACAAGTAAAAATAAAGATAGTAGGACTGTGAGTCTTTACTGTGGGGTACAGAGAAAAAAAAGCATTAGTTTCAAACTCATTTTAGCACAATAGATTAAAGGTAATAATATTACAACCTCAATTATTTACTTTATACTAGCTGTTTCTGTAACAACAAAACTTTCTATTCAGTTCCAAAAGAAAAGTACATAAACTTACAGAAAGCAATATTTCTATATTATTAAAAATAATTATTAAAAAATACAAAAACAGGAGAGGATGATATTCCAACTCCTGGAACCCACTAAATGTAATTCCCTGGGGACTCACAGCCAGAGGTGGTATTCAACAAGTTCTGACAAGTTCTGGAGAACCAGTAGGGGAAAGTTTGAGTAGTTTTGAAAACCGGTAAATACCACCTCTGACTGGCCCCACTGCCATCTATTCTGTCTCTGAGTCCCAGCTGATCAGGAGGAAATGGGGATTTTGCAGTAACTTTTCCCTGGAGTGGGGAGGGAATGGAGATTTTACAGTATCCTTCCCCTGCCACACCCACCAAGTCACACCCACCAAGCCATGCACACCCACCAAGCCATGCCCACAGAGTCAGTAGTAATTTTTTTTGAATCTCACCACTTTTCACAGCATACTTTTTCTGCCAGACCTGATGGCAGGCGTGGCTTCAGGAAGTCACTTCTGCTGGTTCACTTGTGGCCATGCCTTGTGCGCGCACTTCGCATGCATGCGCAGTGCAATAAAACTTTTTCTACACATGCATATAAGCAAAAAAACAAGATGGTGGCACCTATGGCACCCCGCCCCCTGAGAACCGGTCCTGGGGCATGGAGTATAGTTGCAGTTATACATCAGAGAGAGACAGATAGACAGAGAAGGAGGGAGGAAGACAGAGAAAAGAAAGAGAGGGAGAAGAAAGAAAGAAAGAATTTTGAGAGCTTCAGAACAAAGCAATAGCTTTAACACACCCACCAGATTTACTTTCTATCAATTATGACAGTAGCTAGAGGCAAATCAGTTCTCCTGCTGAAACAAAGGATAAAAAGAACTGTTTGCAGTGCAAACCTTTGATAATTGATAGCTGATCATTGCAAGATCCTGTTGTGATTCATTTAGTACTATGGAATATTCTATTCTAATCACATTGCATTTGTCTCAAAATATTAGTAAAACTGTTCTTCCTTATTTTAATGTCATCGTGTATACTATAGTAGCTTACAATATGAAATACTATTTTTCAAATTTTTATTGGCAGCAATCCTCAAAGAAGCAAGGTTGAAGACTTCATATCCAAGGCAGATCTCTCGGATGTGTGGGAGATTTCCCTCACCAAAGGTCAATAAAGAGCAACCATAGTATTTGCACTTTGTACTTTAAATGTAAATTCACTTTGTAGAAATGAGATATTTAAACAGACATTTTTTTAAAAAAAAAATCTGTGAAAATGTAGTACCAGCTTATTTTAAACAATTACCACATACAATGTATGTGCCTTTTTGTTGTTGTCTGAAATCTGTTTCTTGGAGATGTAAAAGTTTGCATTTAATCTGCTTGAAAAAGAATAATGTTCTGTCTTGTAGAACTAGCCTTATGGTATGTATGTTTGTATGTGTGTGTGTTTGTGTGTGAATACATACATACACATATACTAATTTTCAGTAGAATTGCTTATTTTAATGTAATGGTTAATATTATTGAACCAGCTTGATTTGAAGTCTACTGAGCTACATAATCTATGCTTGAGGTTGCATGTTCTTAAAGCTCATAAAAGATTAAAAAGTGTTGGTGATTTATGCACCTTACATAAGAACATAGATTTTAGAAAGAGTTTAGGGTGCTTTTGTTGAAAAGATGAATACTTTTTCTCAAAAATACAGTTGTACAGCTAGACTGCAACCACGCTGGTTTGAAAAAAAAAAACCACTTTTGTCTTCTTGAATTTCCTATAATTTCTAGAGGGCAGGAGTATATGTTTATTTTAGTTTCTATCATTTTGTTTTGGGATGGTTTAATCAGCCAGTAAAGGGAAAGAAAGTTCATTCTGTCACTCAGAGCTGATTCTGTTAAGCCGCAGAATAGCAGCAAAAGGATGCAATTGTTCAGCATTGTCGTTGTAATTGTAAGGAGACAAAGAAACTAAAACAGGTTTGTCCATCTTTGCTGCTTCTTACACCTGGATAGGCTAAGATATGAGATTTAGGAGCCCCAGGTCTTATGAAGTTAAACCCATAAATTGGACAAATTATATACAGGTATGGTAAGGAGATGAAATTAGGCCAAGCTCTCCCTTGGGGCACCTTTCTTGCCATCTGGGAGATGATCATACAAGTTTTCATACCTTTCCTTCCGATCTGATAGAGGTAGGATTTTTCAGTTCATTTCTATAATGCCTTAAACCAGTGGGTCTCAACCTTCCTAATGCCACGGCCCTTTAATATAGTTCCTCATGCTATGCATAAAATTATGTTATGTTTTCTGTATTTTTTTAAAAAAATATGTGTTTTCCGATGGTCTTAGGCAACTCTTGTGAAAGGATTGTTCGACCCCCAAACGGGTCAAGACCCACAGGTTGAGAACCACTGCCTTAAAGGAACAAGAATTTGTAGATGTGTCCTTCATGCCAAAAGCTTTTAAAGAAGAAAGAATCAGTTTAATTAACTGATAAACTTAACTTTTTGATTTTGGACAGATTTTATCCAAAGAGACCAAATGGATAAAGTAACTGAGTGTATATATTTTTTTTAAAAAAGTAAAGAGGATAGCTGTGATTGTTAACAATGATCAATATTCTTTTCAATTCATTAACAGAACTTTTGCTCAATGATATGTAGAATAGCTTTTGATGATTGTGTTCTGATTTGGTCTCTATATTGTATTTATATCTGCATTTATAATTGCCTAATAATATGCGATTAGATGACTTTAATCAGATTCAATTTGAGCAATATAAAATGGGTTTTTATCCAGACATTTGGGCATAAGGAGAAGATAACCAGAATGCATAGGATTTTTTATGTCTTTAAAAGAATTTGATACGTTTTTATAATACTAAACTTTGAATTTAAACTGTTTAGATTAAAAATATAGTGTGCTCCAAAAGTGTTTTTTGTTATCTGTGGCTCATATATAACTTTATATATTAATTGATTCTTAACAGATCAGTAGATGCATATTCTGTTTCCACATAATATTATACCTGGTTTTTTAAACAAACAACAAGGATTGAAGACCTAATTTATGGATTAGTCAAATACTTGATACAATCATCTAAGTAACCAATTTTAATATGTATTAGACCTGGACAAATACTGGATTTCTATTAACTGAAAATAGTAGTAATTTCACGCCACACAAGGTCCTAGTAACACTTATAGCAGATTGTTGTGTGAATTCTGAATTATGGCATCTAAATTATTGTGAGACATGCAGATTAACACAGAATAAGCAGAGATATAATTCTATTCTGTCACAAATTGCTTTAGGAATTATTCATTTCCATATTTTAAAATGTTTGTACCTGTAGTTGTATATAGCTGTGTACCAGTGGTGGGTTTCAGGAGGTACACCCTGGTACACGCGTACTGAGCCAGGCCAGAGCACCGGATACAGTTCCAGTACGGTACTCAGGAGGGCCCCCCCCACCCGAACTCCTTACTGGAGTTTAAAGGCTTTTGCACTTCCACGCAGATGTATGGCGCGTACAGTGCCTGCGCGATGCTCCACGGAGCAGCTGGAGCATCGCAGAGGCGCTTGAATGCATGCGTGTGTTGTACACATATGCGCGTGCACTGCACAGATCCATGAGGACACTGCTGGCCCCGTTCCAACCGTGCCGGTTGGACTGGGATTTGCAACCCACCACTGCTGTGTACTTAAAAAAACAGTGTACAAATGGAAATAAGAACAAAAGCAAAGCAGTTTTGTGATGAGAGTCAGGGGAAGAAAGAAACATCCGTATTCAATTTCCAGGCCCTGAAGGGTACAAAAGTTTTGGCTAGGCAGCTCTGGGTGATCAGAGCTTATCAGGAATGAAATTTCAATCAATTGTAAATATTTTTCCAGCCTTATCATGATTGTCAGCTTGAACTGCACTGGAATTAAAATATCACTAGGGCAGAATGAGGTTAAATGAGTTTTAAAATACATGAACAAACAGGAGGAAGAAAATATAAGAAGACTGCTGACAGATTTCTTGTGCTAGAAGAAACAAATTAAAGGTATCTAAATCTGGCAAGATGACTCAACTTGGCATTTCCCAAAGATGTTTGTCTCTTTATAGTCTTCCAGGAAGGACAGATTAGTGCTGGTTACTCCTTAACAAAGGCAATTTAGAAATACACCTGATATATTTACATTTGGGTATTAGGCAGTTAGAGCAACTTATATTAAAACTGGTGTCAAAAGAAATTCCTTCAGTGTAGAGACTGAAAGGTTTATTGCATTGGCTTATTTTTTTAAGAAAACAAATTGAGGTAATTAGGGAGTAATTACTACAATATTAAATGAAAAGGAGTGAACTTCATTGATGCCTGAAACATTAGACTGGTTACAGTAAATGACTGATGTAAACTCTGCTCACTGTCCCAATATCTTATTGCATTTTTCTTAACCAAAAGCATATGTGAAAGGCATTCAACAAACAGAACAACTTAGTTTTCTTTCTCTGTTTGGAGAAAGGGGTGCTGCTTTTGGGCCAGGGCCAGCCAATACTAAAAGATACTTGGACTTATTGTCCCCGTTGTCCTCTTGACTTCTCCCTTCCACAAATAAAATATTATTCTTATATTTCATAATATGTAAGCAACCCAGGAGAAGCCTTACTAAACAACCAAGAGAAGACAAATGTCTATTTCAGTGTTTCTCAATCTTGGCAACTTGAAGATGTCCGGACTTCAACTCCCAGAATTCCCCAGCCAGCAAATTGACATCTTCAATTTGCCTTTGGTTGAGAAACACTGGTCTATTTTCTTACTATTGTTTCATTATTCATTTTAGTCAGCCCATGCAACACTAATCTTGTACACAGACATTTTTACTAAATCTGTAAACTATGCAGATAGAGAAGAAGTAAAGAAGCTGGTAGAACTCAAGCAAAGCTACTGGTAGTTTGGAAAAACTCAAGTGACTTCACTCCACCTGTGCCAGGAGTCCTATTAGTTGCCACTTTGTTTTCAGATATAAAGTGTTGCTTCTTACCTTTAAAGGTTATTATGGGTTGGCCCAATTTACCCAAATAATGTATTCTACGTAACTCTCCTTCTTTCACTTGTGACGACCTGAGGATGATAATCTCTTGTTACTGCAAATTAATTTCATAACCATTAAGGAGTGATCCTTTCCTTACAGCTTTTGGAATGAACTTCTTGTTAATTTGAAGGTGCTCACTCACTCTTTTTTTAAGAACAGGTCTTTCATTGTTGATTGTACTGATTTTAACATTGGTATAATAATTGCACTGTAAATCACTGATAAACTTTGGTAACTGGTAGAATTTAATAAATGCATCTATATTCCTTCCTTTTGGTTCACCTTTGTTTCCTTTGTGCTGAATCAAAGTAATTGCTACTTTGCCTTAATGTCAATTCAGGCAGAGAGGTGTGTGAGTGTGTGTGTGTATTGATGGCTTGGGGAATCCCTTGAAATGGTCACACCTGGGAGAGGGAAGAATGCAATCATCTTGATCTTTTGAGATACCATACTTAAAGCACTGTCACTTAAAGCACTGTCATGAATAAAGTACCACTGCAAATCATTTGTACAGAATCATACATACTTTCTCAGTTTCTTTTTTTCTTTTTCCCTCTTAAAAAATAATGATTTAAAGGATGACACTTATAAAATCAACTTTTCTTTTACATATGTGCTACATCAATGGTCTTCAAAATCCCAGTTTGTTGCGGACATGGCACTTTAAAAAAAAGTTGTCAGTAAAAACAATGAGGACATCACATAGCCATTCAAGGAGAGCAAAGTCATTGTATCATTGAGATTTTTAGATTAAAACTAGGCTGCTGATAGATTTTATTTATTTGCAATGAGATTGTTCCCTGGCAAAATCTGAAAGTCTAAGAGGTCATCCATGCTACAATGCTAGCCCAAGGTTTATTTTACACAAAATGGTTATTCTGATGATGCCAGCATTTTCCAGTACAAAGCTCAATACTTACATCTCCTGTTTCTTTCCATGACCAAAAACCTGTTCTATTCCTGATATAATCCAAACTTCTGAACATTTTGGTTTCTCTTTTGTTCAGCCCTGAAGTAGTTGAGAGAAGATCTGTACCATCTGCATATAAAAGGGGCAGGACAATGTCACAATATTGGTTCTATGAATCTGAGATCCTTTGCTCCCTTCTCTTGTGTTTTTATTTGTATTTGTGTTTTTATTTGTTTTTAATCTTTCTTAATATTTTTGTTTCTGTAAGCTGCTCGGAGTCCTTCGGGATTGGGCGGCCTATACATTTAATAAACAGTAAACAGTAAACAGTAACAGTATGATACCATGGGAGGGAGTACCAAGGAAAATTGTTAGATTATTGTAGCCTTATTTGCCACACATTTAATCTCACATGAGAGCTATTGGCTATTATATTGTTCACCAACAGATAATTTTTCTGTGAAAAAAGATTCCTTTGGCCTCTTCTGAATTTTCCTTATTCAGCCTCATTAGACTTTGTGCTTTGAAAGAAAGCAATTCTCCTCACACTGTGCATAATTTTATTCATTTTTATCATGTCCATCATTATTTTTTTGCCATTTTAAGCATATTTTCTGGCTTTCAGTTCCCAACTTGTGGTGGGATACACAGGGGGGAAAAACCTCAGTAAATTCTAATTGCATCGTTAAAGACATAAGACAACTGGCAATTTTATTTATATTTCCCTCCCCCCCTTTTTTACAGAAACTAAGCACAATCTTTTTCTTTAAGTTATTCATTGCAAATTATAAATCAAATAAATGTTTCTACAGAAAGCATTGATTTTATCCAGCATATTCCAACTGGGTTTTGCCTCATGGTCAATTCAAAAATGTTTTCTAAATCCAAAGAAGAAAACAAGATGTAATGAAAATGTGAGAGCAGAACCTAATGTGTATTTCTAAATTGGGAGCAGATTTACACAAGATGAGGAAATCCAAACCACAACAAAGAGGAATTTCCTTTGTATTTCTTATGATGTGAACAAAATGTAATTAGATTTTTTTTTAAATTGAATCAATAGATCCACATTAAGCTTGGCTGCTACCCTGCGGTTATAATATTTGCTTTAATCAACACATTAATGACAAAATGTTACAAATAATGGGGGAAGGGGGTTACTGCCTTTTTTGTGGCTTACTTTTACATTCCTTCTTACAGAGAGTAAAAAATAATTTAAAATACATTGGGGAAATTTTTGATCTAAGGATAATTAGAGGAAGTTGCATATAACTTTTGTGTTTCAGTATTCAAGAATGTAAAATGTG